TTCTCATTCAGAAGATGAAAACACCTTTGCTGTTATGAGTTTTCCCCATTTTCTACATAACACTGCTGCCCTCATAACACTGACTTTCTTCTCATTCTAAAACGCATCTCCATCATTGGGACGCTGCACCCATCAAAGCGAATACAAGAGCCCCATTGGCTTGTGGATTGCACTTTTAAATGCTTCTACACTAGGAGAATTATAAAGGCTGGTGTATTTTGATTAAAATTGAGGACCTCTGCATTTCCCAAAGTGGTATTTTCCTGAGTTAAGGGAAAAGCAGAGAGTGGAAGAGGCCTCTTGATACAATATGTACTATGGAGGGGAGGAAGAGCACAAAAGGAGGACTATGTGACACGTGGACGACAATGCATCCAGTGATACAAAGGTTAGAGCACACCTCTAGGTGAAGGCTGAGGTGATACGCAGAGAGGAAGAGATGGATCTAAAAGCTCAGCTCCCTCTAATCCTCCTATGAAGACAGAAGGAGACCAAGATGCATCCAGCTCCAACAGATGATATTTCACTATCAGGTGGAGACCTCTTGCCAAGTTGCACCTCAGCCACGTTTTTAAGCTTTGGGACATTATGTTTTTGTCAAAAAGTGTGTATCAAACAGTTACTAGAGCTTAAGCAGTCAAAAAAGAATAATGTCATGGGTGAATCTTCACATTGATAGCAAATATTTATTAACAGTTAATTATGTTGTTCTAACACAATAAAAGAAAAACATAGAACTTGTGTCTTCCTGCAAAGGTTTTGCCATTTATTCCTCATGAACACTAGTGCAAACATGGGCAGTTGTTGGTGGAAGCTGGCATTTAACATCCTGATCTGTTTTAGACAGTATATGCTTTCAAGCATCTAACACTCAATGAGGCACAATAACATACTCCACTTCCCTGTCCCTGAACAAAGTGCTTCTACAAAGCTGGAGAAATACAGAGGGTATGCCCATGCCCTCAGCTAACCATACAACTCTGACTGTACTCGTAGGTCAGACCAGCTCATTGTCTACACAATTTACCCTCAGGTATGACAGCTCTGAGCTCCAAGCTGGAAAGTGCACACGGGAGGCTTGCTTAGCTGCGTTTAAACTGCCTTTCCTCTCACAGTGCAGACCCAATCCAAGAGCCCCTCATTTTCCCTGATGCCAAGGGGTACCTAGGGCTGGGTCTGACTCAGCACCATTCAAAGATGTGACAGACGATGTGACACGGCCTGCTTCTGACTATAGATCATGTATCACTACTGTGTTCTCCTTAAAAAAGTTGTTTACCTCTTTGCCTTGAACCTCACCTCTTCCCAGCAGCTTGCAGAGCTTCTGTGCAGCATCCCTAACCAGGCTGCGCCGAGTGTAGCTCGGGACACAGTCCACTATATATGCTCTCTGGCATTTTGCATTTCTCTCAGACTATTAAAGGGAGCAGAAAAAGCTCAGAGGTGTTATTTATTCAGTTCAAAAGCAACCCATTATCACTGTGTTACACTTCTAACATGCGAACACCATGACACAGCACCAGCAGCGAATCCGTTATCCCTGAAAAAATAAATGGCATGTTCTTTTGCAATCAAAATATATGCCCTGCTGTCAATGAATATATTCTTGGTTACAGCACCAGGAGGAAATTTTCGCTTTTCCTCCTCCACCTCTCATCCAAATTTCTTCCTCAGGGTTCCAGAGTATGAGATGAGCAACGTGACCTTGCAGTGACAGAATTTTAATGTGTGACTGGTGCACCAAAAGCAATGCAGCAGCGTCTCCCTGCTTAGTGTTGCTATGTATGCTAGACATTTATGTAACACTGCTTCTCATCCTCAAGGCTGCCCTTTCCTGGGGTCAGCAGCAACAAACACAAAATTTATTTATCGAACTGTCAACATTACTTACAGCTGACACAGAGAACTCTGCACTCAAGTATTTTGGTGAAAAGGAGTTAACGTGTAAAGCTATTCCCAATTCCAAAGCTGCAGAAAAGAAGTAGATTTTTTTTTTAAATGGGTTAATTTGAAAGAGTAAAGGGTTTGTTTCAAACAAATTGCTTATTTCCAAGTTGTTTGCTAAAGTATACTAGTTTTCTTCTGGGCTTTAGCACTGAGTTGTGCATGGAAATGCAAGGCTTTTGCATATATTAGCTCTCAACCCCCAGGAAGAGACTGCATGTACATCTAGAAAATGGGGTTTGCTTTTAATTTCTAAAATTGAGAAGCCAAGAAGAATGTCTCCTCCTTCCCCTTGGCTCTCAGGTTCAAAATATTTTATCTTGTTCATTGTTGCCCTCCTTGATTTGCTCTTTAGTTGACAGCAGTTTACCTGAAGCATCAGGACCAGGCTTCCCTCTTATCCAAGCGCTCTGTCAAGAAGCAATCTGCAATTGGGATGAGTGGCTTTTTCCAGCTTTCTCTCTGTGCCCATGAAATAATGGGACAGATACACTGCTCTTAGTACAGATCCAGCATCTGTTTCTTACAAATAGGATCCTTTTAGAGAATATAACACTTCAGGCACAGCAAACCTTGAGATCTACTGCAAGATTGGAGATATTCATACATCAGAGGAAGTGCACAGCATTTCTTGATATCAAAATGGATCCCATCCTTCTTACAACATGGGTGATATAACTAGTAGGACAGTAAACTTTCACAAATACTCATCCAGCCCTTTAAGGAGAAGCATTTGTTGCTCAAAACCGGTGTGTAAGAGCATTTATTATACATGTCAGTCCAGCAGAGGATTCAGGATTTAACCTTAAAAGATGATGTCTAATTAATCTATTGTACCTACAAAGGAAATTCCAGAGTTTCTAGGATTTACTAAGCTTAGTACAGGCACTAAAATATCAGACTCTTTATGGGAACGAAGAGTCTCATCTCAGCTCCATGCACCTCCCCAGTGCATCACCATAGTGGCCTTAATGAAATACACCAGCAGCAGAGATGATGCAAATCCCAAATCACCATTCACAGTTGAGTCATCAGCTATATTATATATATCCCTGAAAAATGTACATTCATAGCAGAAAATCTCAGTTCTGCACAGGCACCAGCGGCATTTATATTAAACCTTGTTGTTAAATCCTCTTTGCTAAAACAATAAAAACTGGTTTAAACTGTGAGGTGGAAAATCTGCAGACAAATCAGATGTATAATCCAGAGAAGAATAGATCCAGTTTCTCTTATATCGCACTGGCAAGTTTATGAAATGATTGCCAGGCTGAAGTGAAAATTAATCTCCCTAGAAGTCCTTTTTTTAAAAAAAAAGGTAAACATTGCATTTTAATAACTATGTCTGACTTATGAGCCTTGAACTACTATAGGCAATGACTAGTTAGACACGTGCCTGCTTCTCCTAAATCACATCTTGCAGTTTGAAACTAAAATCTGGTGTGTTAATGTTGAGCAGAAGTTTTTCTCTTAGGCTGCTGTTCTACAAGTCTTACCAAACCATTACTTCTCTGCTCTGTTAGGCTGTTACAGCTGAATTACTGTCTCCAATGTGGCTCATCTGCTACTCATATTATCTGCCCCTTCTCAGCCAACTCCAAATCTCCTTCTCACCTATGTGCTAGCAGGATTAGGAGCAAATAGACAGCTTCTGCATTTGCTTGCGCTGGTTGTAAAAAGTGCTCACAGGTTGCTCCATGCTTAGATCAGACTATGCATGGATGCAAATATACGTAGTACTTCCCTTACCTGCAAGACACATCTGCTAACAAGGTGGGTGAATATATGCAACCAAATAAAACAATGGGGATTTAGAGCTGAGAGTGTAAGCCCATGATGAGGATGCAGTGGAAACTGAAATCATAGAATCATAGAATGGACTGGGTTAGAAGAGATCTTCAAGACCATCTAGTTCCAACCCGCCTACCATGGGCAGGTTGACCCCTCAGGTTACTCAAAGCCCCATCCAGTCTGGCCTTGAACATTTGTAGGGATGGGGCAATGACAACTTTTCTGGGCAACCTATGCCAGTGTCTCATCACCCTCACAGAAGAGAATTCCTTCTTAATATCAAATCTAAACCTGCTCTCTTTCAGTTTAAAGCCATTACCCCTTATTCTATCATTACATACCCTTGTAATAACAATGTGCACAGTGCTTTCACACACATCTTCACATCAGGTTTGTGCAGATAGGAGTCTTCAGAGAGAGGATTTATCTGTTTTCCCTTTAAAGCAACTGTTCTTTAGTCTGTTGTGCCAAAACAATCAGCATTTTGCAGAAAAATGGATTTGGCTTAAATTTTCTACCGTAAGCAGTGAAGTCATCAGCTAGGTGTCTGTGGTATGCAGTGGTGTCCTCTCCCAGCCCAGGTTCAAAGTTGTTTGTTGTGATCTCTCATACTGCTTTCACTCCTGTCTTCTAGAAGAGCAGATAAAAGACCCTGGAAGAACTCACATGCTAGTAGTAGTACCACATACTGAAATAGGGAAGTGTTGCTTCAAATACAGGGCTGGAATAATCATTGTGGAGGGACAGGTTGTCTTGCAGACTTCAGAGGTGAAAGTCAGTCTTCATCAGGCCTTCCCACACAACATTAAGGTTCGTCTCTGCACTCCTTTGTTGTGGCAGTGGACATTTACTCACACAAGTAATATCAGTGCTATGGGAATAGGATGTCTTGGGTAAATCTGATTAATCCAGCTGTTAGCTGTGTAAAGCCCTGAGTCCCACACTGCTGCATGAGGGCTGGATTCCCAATGCAAGGAAAGGGCTTGGTTTCCATCATGGCATGGAAACATTCTTGCTTTAAAAAAACAGCCCTGAAACATTTCTGATGAATAAAACACAATGATCCTGCTGAGCAAACACTGATGGGCCTGCAGCTTTGTGACTGAGTCAGAATTAGCAGAATTCATGGTGGGATCCTTCCCTTGCCAGCGGGACACTTATGATGAACTCACAGAACACAGTATAAAGTGCAAAGTGACGCTCAGTTACGTAAATTCAGTCGATCTGCAAATGTGGAATTAAGTGCTGTCAGCCTTCACTTACTTGTCTGGCACTGAGTTATATTTTCACATACACTTGGCTTACAGATAAAAAAGTAACAGAGTTTAAAAGAGGGCCTGACTTTGTTTTGCAAGATGGAGACACACTCAGAAACAGCAATGACAACACAGCCTGTAGAAAGATTGTGTATCATAATATCTGCCACTCCTGAAGCCAAGTCACAGCCACTAACAACTCTGAAGCCTTTTGCCCCTCTAACAGAGCTATAGCTCAAGAAAAAAAAAGCAGTTGAGGCTTTTAGACTTTCTCCAAAGTCAGCCTCATCTTGTCTAGAGATTACTCATATGATCAATAGAAAGGTTTACCCAAAATAAACACAAGTACATTTGCATAACAATTAGACAGATCTTTTTACTGCTTGTGCACTGAAGTGATCCCAAAACATTAATTAAGCCTCACAACACTCTAGAAAGGCAGACAGTCCAGAGCTTGTCTTACAAGTGGATCAAACAAACATCTGAGGCGGACACGGCATGAAGACAGAAAGGGAAGAGCCTGGATCTGCTTAGATCTTGCTATGACAGCACAGCCTAATGTAACAACAGGTGTTTAATATGCCTACACGCAGCCATGACTCCTGTTACAATGTAGAACAAGACCACAGTACTAGCACTACTATTTTAATTATAAAGTGTTACCTATAAAGAAGCTGAGCCAGAAAATATAATCTGCTTTAGCACAGAGCTAACTGCAAAACTAGCTGCTCATTATATGGTAATGGAACCAATATCTATCAGAGAGGAGATGTGAAACCACAAACAACTTTGTGATTAAAAGACTCTAAACTGTAATTCAAAAGCATGAGATACTAGATCCTGAAGCAAGAGGAAAAAATCACTGTCTGGTTGGGGTTAATAGATGTAGGCATGATTTCAACCATGCTCTATGCAGGTAGTATTAGAAACAAATCTTACTGTTTAAAAAGTGTCTAATCCTTTGCTGCATACCTCTAGTTTTACAGTAATGGGTGAATGAGATCCAATAGGAAAATAATGATCCTCCCAACCTCAAAAAGAAAAAAATTAAAATCAGTAGCTGTAATGTAGGTTCCCATCTCACACTGCATTTCTATTTTGACTTCTCTCATCTGGGCTACTTCGAGAATTCTCATCAGTAGGAATTCATCCATCTCTGTTCTTTCCTTCCTCCGTGAATTTCAAATTGGACAGAGCCAGAGGTAAAAACTCCAGTTGCAAGTCCAGACACTGAGGAACACATTCCAATGTGGCTTTACTGATGAAACTCTACCCTGATGCTCACTGAATGCAACTCCTTCGCAGAAGCTGCCAAGGTAAAGACCCAACTCATTCTCACTAGTTACACATACAACATGCCTACACACCACCTACTAGAAAAATGCTTCCCTCTGAACATTGATACTGATACTTGCAAACTCCTGAACAGTGTGCGCATTGTGAGTGAAATTTTAATGTCTTTTCCACTAAAATAAAAAAGGTTGTCAATGGAAAGACGTAAATGAAATCAAATGCACTGTGTTAAATACAGGTGAACCACAGGCACAAGACTTCTTGAGCCATCTGCCACCTGTGTATGCTGGAAACACTACATGGTCCTGCTCCCAAACTTCTGCTGGAGATTAAGGGGAAGGTTTTCAGCATGTTAGTGATGCTGCTCTATTAGGAGGCACTAGAGTGGTGACTATTTACACCAGCTAAGTGTCTAACTCCTGTTTAAATGCCCTCTTCTTGGCAAAATAAGGAAAAGGGAGAAAAGAAGAAATAAAGTTGGATAGGCTATTGGATGGAGGAAAAAAAACATGCTCCTCAGAACCAAAAGGCTATAAAGTGCCTGTTTCAACCTTTAGCCCTTCCATGGCAATTATGAGCAGAAAACAGCTGTGGAAAGGAGAAGGGAAGGATAGTTTAAATTTGGATGTTTCAGATTTTCCCCTTTGGAACATACTGAAAGCATACTGCAGCTCCTGCAAGGTTTCTGTCTGCACACACCATTCAAGGAGCCACAGTGATGAGGACTTCATTCTTACTCTGCTGTATATCTCATCTCATCTCATCTTGCTTTTAGTGACATCAGGGCAAACGAAGGTGGCTCCAGGGAAAGTAATCAAAAGATCATAGTCAAACAAACATACTAGGACCTCTAAAACTGGATTTCAACCTGTTGCCTTGCAAAATAATCAGTAAGAGCATCTTTAGGTATTTGACATTCAGGGCATGTGAATGCAGAGTGAGTGCAACTTCCACATTGTGTGGTATAATAAAAACTTGAGTGCCTATCTGCTCGTGTTCATCACTTTCTTGCTCCATAAATCATACTTACTCTGCAAACCCACTGAATGCTGAATTGATGCAAGATAGAGAGTTCTCCATGTATAGCTGCTGCTTGCCAAAAGGCTGCGACTGACATCACGGTGAAGGCTGCCCACTGGTGCTACACAGTTATGCTCACATTTCCTTAGGTTAACTTCATTATAGAAGTAGACTAGTGAGAGTAACACTCTATATTTTAAATATAGAATCCCAGTTCTGCAATGTATAATAAAATCTTTAATATGGAGTGTTTTCACCCCAAAGCCATGAGATTTTAATACCAACAAAAGCAAGAGTCTTTATAATACACTATGTTTTGTCATTTGGATAAACCTGGGATTTGGTTTACTGATCCAGCTTCAGAGGACTGAAGTGGAAGAAGTTTGAAGTGGAAGAAGTTTAAACGTTCCACAGATTCTTCCTCCCGTCAGCTTTCAAAACAATTATGTCTCTCCCCAGCTTCTGTACTTTTTAATTAACAGAAGCAACTCCAAAGATCACTCCTGCCACAAATATTGCGTGAGCGCATTTGAGTATAAGCACTGATTATTTGTTGGTATACTGCTGCATTCACAGTCTTAAATAATCATAAATAAAAACATCTGTGCTACACTTTGGTACATTTCTATCTGTTTAAACCACAGATGAACTTCTAAGTTGTACAAAATAAAAAATTGCACTTTTATCTTCCGGAGAGTCTTGCTAGTCCAACAGACTTTCAGCTGAAGGATTCTTTATTGTACTCAAACCTTGTCCCATAAGAGTTGCTGCTGTTGCTCAGTTTATGAAGTATCTTAGAGATTTTGTTTGGTCCACAACAGAAAACTCCAATGGTCTTCCTGTTATCAAAAAAAAAAAAAAGAAAAAGAAAAAAGTTATGACATTGTGAATAAACAGTAACATCTAATGATAGATAGAACTGGATTCTGGCCTCACTCATACATAAGTCAGCTACATATAGGTTTTACGGTGAGAACAGCTTATTAGGTCATGCAGTTAGTATTACTGAAGCCACCATATCTCTCTCAAGTATCCCCACAATAAACCCTATTACTTATCTGACTATGACGACTCTTAGGAAGAAGTGCCTCATCTAAATTTCAAGAAAAATTATTATTTTCCACTCTATTTTTATTTTCATAATTAATCACCTTTTTGTGAAAAATGTGTCTCACTGTAATGACTTCATTAGTGTAACTCGTGATTTACACCATCAGGAGATCAAGTCACTAACAGTGATTTGTTACACTCATGAAAACAGAGCACTACTAACCCATGATTGTTTCTGGCAGCAGCAGAATAATTTTACTGCTTTACTTTCACATTAGCATGCAGTTTTTCCTTCAACATCTTCAACATCCTTCATTCCCATCTATATTGGGAAATCTTAGGAAAAGTCAAACACAGAGTATGATCCTTGTTCTTCACCTATAGGTCTCAGTCCAGGTTCATTAGTTAACTTGACTTTTTCATACCACTCTACTGACAGCAGCTCTTTGCTCTCTGGTCACCTTAAAGATGGCCTGTAAATCAGATTGATAGTCATACAATATCTAAGGGCTCAGAACTGTAGTCAGCAACAGAACAGGGCACATCCACCACAGAAGGACTGAGCCATTCACAATACTCATCACCTCCCTTTTTTTGAAAGATGAGAAGGGAAAGGAAGGAGCAGGGAAAGACAATGCAGTGCTGCCTCTTCCACATCATGAAAAAAAAAAATCATTATCTTCCTGCTGAAATTGTGCCACTACAGAAAAAGAACTTAAAGATTTAGTGAAATGAAGAAAAAGCATACAAGAGTGAACGTGGTTCTAACTATAGTGATCTACAGCACTCACCAAGAGGCTGGAGACTTGAATTCTGGACCCTGCCTCCAGGATTGCTTCAGTATTTTATCCAATAACTATTTAATATAAAATATTTTAGCACATGCAGGATAATCAAACACAGTTTAAAGCTCACTGTGTATGTGTTTGCTGAGAGAAGGGAGTTAACACACACAAGAAGAAATCTTTGATGCATACTGTCAAGTATACATGCCTGATGTTAGGCAGCTGCTCGAATAGCATGGAAGTGCACACTGTACCACTGCACAGCAACACTGGCATTGTACAACTGCGGACTCAAACATTAAAAAGCATCACAAAGTTAGGTAGGTAACTGTAGAGGTGTCCTTGTGCAAGCACCTTACAATGCTGATTTTAATTGCCTTCAATTACATCATCTCTCATATTAATCCATGGCAAATATTTATAACCCATTCTTTTCTCACCCTTATATATACCTATTAAGCTTTCCTGTCCTAGCAGTACTCCTTTTAATGGCAAGGGATGTTGTGCTGGTGGCTGAATTTTCAGCAATAATGAGAGTACTATTGCTCATTGCTCTCAAATAAGATTTCTCAGCACCTGTAGACTCTGAACTCCCTCTAATCTGTGCACACTGGAGAAAAAGGATTCATGAGCTGCCAGCAAGAATCTGTTTTCTACTGTGTATTTAATTGAGAGAATTAATGTTGTTGTTGGTTTTTTGTTTTTTTTTTTTCATTAGTCTAATTAGTACAACCAACTGATAAATCCCAAAGAGTTTGTCTGCCCCTCTCCCTTTCATTACATATAAATTGCCACTAAAGTAAAGACATGTCTTAGCAGCACATACTGCTAATATATTCCCATCCCAGCAACATCCTTCCAAGGTACACAGAATTTTTGACTAGTAATCAGAACCACAGAAAGGTTAAATGATTTGCCTAAGTCACAAAAGAGACCTGTGGCTAATAACGTCTCCAAAACCCTGGTGAACCACTGCTCGTGCAGTGAGCCAGAGGCTCTCAGACTTCCTTCACAGGATACCCAACACCAGCATCTATTCTGGACATCTCCCCACATACCACTTACCTCCCACAGTTCATGTCCCACTTTCTCCCTCACCTCTGTCACTGACTTCCCTGCTTGCAGATACCTTCCTCTCTGCCAGCAGCTTGGCTCCTGCCAGGTTGCTGTGACACAAGCAGGTAGGTGGCTGAGAGATGCTACTACATGGAGCAGCACTTTACTACCCTGAGCTGAGGGACTTTAATTGTGTATCAGTTGTCTGGGACAAAGGCTTACTTTGTTGCTAGAAGAAAACAGGTAGCTGTGTAGTGCTATGTCTGAAAATCTTTATAAATACCACTAACATGTTTACAATTAAGGAATCTATATTCTAGGCCATTCTTTGCAATAATTATAAACATCAGTGCAGGATTTTACTCATTCAGAGCATTAAGCAAGTAAGGCTTCAGTGTTCCTATGGGATGAGTAGGTCAGCACATATTCGTACATCCGTTTTATGAACAGCTGGAGGTGAGGGAGAGATGAAATGCTTTGCTACATTGAGAAGATACAGTCAGGACTTAAAAAGATCCTGTTTTAAATCCCACATTCATTTCTAGAGAGATGTTTCTCCTTTACATCACATGAGAAATGTATCATGGTGCTCCATGCCTTTTTCTCCTACAGATATTCATGTCTTTTTCTAGGTCAGTCTCCACCTGGAGGACACACCCATTTGACCTAAGCAAAACTGAGCACAGTGTAAGCTTTTCATACAGAACCCAACTGAACAGGAACAAGACTGCTGCTCCATCCCCCTCAAAAAAGCAGGGAAAAAAAGACCAGTAATTTGTTATATTAACAGTCCCAATGTACATTGCTGGGACTGCAGATGTCATATGAAATATCGACAGTAGATGGCATGCGTCTGCTCCTCTTTTCCAGAAAAAAGGATCAGGAACCTGATGCTGGGTTGCCCTATGTCACGCTTTGAAGGTCTGGCAAAGCGCAGACACTTACAAGTGCACTTTGCTTATTTGGGACTCAAACAGCAACAACAGCAACAATGCACAAAGCACACAGCAATCAAACGGCTACACTGTGAGAGCTTTGCCAGCTGCCTGTTATTTATATGCAGCTTTTCCTAAAATCACAAATAAAAACTGGAAAATATCTCAGCTGCACATAAACAAGCCCAAGGGGATGATTGCAAATCTGAAAGCCTGAACATTGGCACCAGATGTTGGAAACAACTCGATTGACCTGTTTTGTTTTGTTTGGGGTTTTTTTCATCTCTGTGTTGCAGCAGGGACACCTACATGGAAAGTTACTGAGAAATAGGAACTGAAATAAAGCTAATAGCAGACCTAGAAATTGGACTATAGAGAAAAACTGAAGTTCCTGTCTCATCCAAGGAAATATGGAGAATAATCACCTACAAGAGGTAAATTTCTGTGGGACAGCTGAAGTTGTTACAGGTTTCAGTACCATGCATCATGTTTCATGTAACTATGTCTACAGATATAGACCTGTATAAACCCTGATAAAAAGGTGACCAAGGCTGACAAAGAGTACATCTTAGTAAGCTGCAGGTAATCAAAGGAGTCGGAACGTTATTTAGGTACTAAAAGACACCTTGTTTGAAAATCATGGCACAATTTAAAGGTCTCATGTGAAAACGCAGAGAAAATGGTACTTGAAATCTAATTAGGAGTAATGCAATGGAAAGCAAAAAACAAAAAGCAAGTATGACTACTACTAATAGTTTAATCTATATTATGTGCACTTACAGCCTTGCAAGGAAGTGGCAGAAATCATAATTTTCATCTTTTAAAACTGCACTCACACAGTTAAACAAACAAAAAAAAGACATTAGCATGGAGCATAAAAGATCAACAGTCTTCTACGCAGAGGTCTCTGAGTCCAGAGAGTCAGCTTGCTTCCATGACATATTTCCCTTTCTTTCCCATATTTCTTTACTCTAAAACCCTTCTCCAAGTGTGAGAATTCTACCATGGATGTCCCTCTGTAGCAGCCTTTGGAATGTCCTGACAAGGGACCCTGTCCACAACATCCTCTATGATCTGAATCCAAGAAAAATATTGTCAGCAGCTCACACTGCCAACGTGATACATTTGGTACTCAGTATTTCTCAAGAACCAGGGCTCAGTGTCCTCAGTCATATCTGGCCTGAGAAGAGTCAATAAGCCATGGGCAGATTTCACTTTGCAAGTGCAAGAGAAGACAAGAAGTTCTTGAGGAAAAATTTTGCAGATGAACATGCAAGCACTTCTCAACCTGATGCACCCAGATTACTATCAACAGCTACTGTGGTTTGCTTCCACACCACTGACATTGCCAAAAGTAGATTAGGGAAGATTCACACAATCCCTTCTACCAGAATAGCTTTTGAAGCAAAAAACTATCAGTGGGGGGTAAAATACTCAACCAACAAAGCTGGATCTGGACAAAGACATTCCATAGTCTAACTGCATGTCTTCTCTGGTTTACAACCCTCTTGTTTCAGACCATAATATGTTTTCCTAGCACAGTAAAAAGGCATTGCCAGGTCTTAACAAAGAATAAAAAACTGCCCGAAATCTTCAAAGACAATATATCCTCCGAATAAAAACAATACAAGTCAGTCAAGGTCTTCCTTGTGATTTTTTTTTGTAAACTAGCACTACAAATCATGAAAATTATAGGAGAAGTCAAGAATTTAAAAAAGTGCAACCTCATATATAAAACCAGCATATGTTGAAAGCAAGACATTGCCATGGACAAGAACATAGGGAAGCTCTGTGCAGTGAGATGAAAATCTGCTACTTTTGTTTCCTGGGACACTGAACATAGCTGTCTAAAAAGCTGAACTGCTCTGTGTGTGTAAAAAAAAAAAAAGTGTTTCTGTTTGTACAGGCTACCTCTCACAGCAAAATATTAGTGAATTTCAACATTACATTATATGATAAAACTCAGAAATATTTTCATACCAACATAGCTAGACACAGATATCCCCAGCCATCAAACTGTGGCATCCTTCAAGCAGTCTATAACTTACCGTCTGTTACACTTTGCTATGTCATCAAACAGGAGTTTCCACTGGGGTCGTCCAATCAAAAGCCTGGAGTTTAAAGCTTGATATTTTTCACCAATTATTTTCTGCAAGAAACAAAAAAACTCCACTGTGCCTGATTTGCAAATTGCCTCATATCACCCAGGGCTCCCATTTCTGACATTGGCTGACTTGCCATATTTCTGAGATATAAAACCTGAGCACAAGTACCAAAGAGTTGTGATTAAAACTGCAGCTATTTTATGCTCCAGTACCTCTGCTCAGTACCTTTTCAATGGTTCTCCTCGGTGTTCATTATACATTGTTCCTCTGCAGCTGCTCATTAATTTCCACATTTCTTTTAAACCAATTTATTTAAGCCATAAAACAATAACCATACTTCTATTACTCATTCCCTCACTGCCTTTTAATGCTAAGCTGGAAGAAACACTGCTGATGCAAAAATCATATTTCTGTCTGAAGTAAGCCTTTTTTTAACTTTGTACAAGTAACTATTAAGATTACTAGGTCTGAAAAAGTAACAAGGGAAATCTTACTTTTCTCCCTGAGAGTAGTTTGCCAGCTGTTTTGAACTGCTTTGAGAGCAGAAAGCAACTAAAACTGCTCCTCAGATGGAACCAAATCCATTTCAGCAATGCTAACTCACAGCATTTTGATAAGGTGGAATGCCCTCCCATTGCAGGGCATGACCCTTCCTTGCTTTGCTTTCCTAATGGGACAGAAAGGCAGAGAGAGGTTACATCTTATCTAGGCTCCCACATTCCCTCCTCTGCTGAACAACCTGAGACATTGCTCATACCAATGCAAACGCAGAGCTTTGGCCAAGTCATCCTCTGTTGGGCTTTTATAGACAGGAGGTATTTGCTGCAGGGTGGGCTTGGCTCCCTCTTACCACACAGGCACAGGGCTTCTCTGCAAAGGGAGCATGAAATGAAACTGCCCTATTTTTGGTAGCAGTCAGCACTTTGGAGTAACAGCAGTGAACACATCAGCTATATGGCAGTGGAGAGTTGAGTTTAATTCCCCCTTGAGAAATTATGAACAGCATTATGATTTATGTCAGCATTGTTCAACAGCCATAAAAAAAGTGTCTTTAAAGAAAGACTTCAACCAAAAAGCTGATTTAAATAAATTCAGCAGCTGCTTGATCCATAATATCAGAACACTTTCTTTGAATTGACTATTATTTCAATTTTGCTGCATCATTGCATTGAAGTCCTGCTTCTGCTTTTAATTTTAAGCTAACAATTACATACCAGCTTCATAAATTAGGTATTTTCAAGTACCCCATTTCAATCGACATATGTTGTCCAGACAGTACATTTGTCATAGTCATAACTACTGTAGCTATCACATCATTTAGACTAGTCTTCCTACCAAAGCTGTGAATGTTATGCTATCTCCATACTAAGCAGATCAAAATCCTTTGGGTATGGTTTGTCACTGCATTTCTTGTTTAAAAAGTAATTGTTAGGCTTGGTTCTGGGCCCCCTGCAGTCACTTGAAAGCTTCCTGACATAGCAGGGTAAAGACTTGTATCTAGGCTTATGTGCTAAATAATGTAAAATGAAGATTGCTAGCGTAAATAGTTACAGGAGATGCCAAGATTTGGGGAATTAGCCCAGCCTAGGGTTTGGTAATACATGACAATTGACAGTTCAGTATAATTTTCAGGCTCATACATCAAGAAACTTCTACTTTCTGTCTATATTTGAGGCAATGAAATAAAAAGCTTTTTAAAATAGCTAGTTTCTCTCAAAATATATATGAGAAGATTGAGCTTGCAAGTTCCTAGAACTATTCTGTTTTGATTCCTAGCCCAGAAACGATGCAGATTTCCCATCAAACATTTCCAACTGCCTGGTCTGTGGCCTGGCAGGACCTCTTTCCTAGAAAAGGAAAATATGGATTTCTACCCACACCTAAGCAAGTTAAGGGCACCAAACTAGATTGTCTTAATGCTGTAGGGATGGACTGGCTCTCTTTCTCTAGTAATGAATCAGTCATCTGAGTTTATGGCCTCATCTCCTGTTTTTAACATCTGCAGTAATCCCCTTTCTACCTTTGACTGATAGTTTGCATTGCCTATTACTCCAAGGTCTAGTTCAGTTTACAAACAACACTTGGCCACATACCTGTATTCCATCTGTTTGACTGAGGTACAGCTGGATATTAATATAGTCTGGCCGATTCTCCTGCCAAAGCTGGAAGGATGATAAAAAGAGCTAGTGAAATAACATTCTTTCTCTTAATCTAAGTGTGAAGTCACTTGTGCCTTCTATGCTGAGGGATATAGGTTTCAGCATCAGTGAAGTAAGCTTTTTAATGGAGAAGATATGATTGCATAGCACCCCTTTGTGAATGTTGCACATCATGCTGTGTACAAAATATTGGTTTTGGAAGCTACACGGCTCTTACAATCCACCTGAAATTGCAAATCTCCCTCCTTTCTCGATCTGGCTACTGTCCAATGCCTAAAGGCCACTCAGACTTCCCAGCCTGCATGTGCTTCTTCCATCTTGCAAAGCAGGATGGACACAGATAAGTGCAACAGTGTGCAATAAAATATTGGTCATAGATACTCAAACTGTTTCATGCAGCTCCAAGAATAAATGGAGCCTAGGTCAGGCAGCCCAAGCAGAACTACCACTGGAGCTCATTTGTTTTGAGCAAGGTTACCATTCTCTATAGCATGCCAGTTTTGTGGTGTGGACATACCTTGCACTTAAGTTGTCAGTATCCCTCCAAACACCCATTACCTTGTTATGCAACATACAGAGCAGATCTGCAAACCAGCGAAAAGATTCAATGTCCCTGCACACCCAAATAAAGTAGAGTCTTCTGAGCTTGTAGCATTTCCAGCCGTCCCTTGAAAATAAAATGTGTGGGTAATTAAAAATTATCATTTTAAAAGAAACATTAATTAATATGCTTTATATTCATTAACAGAAACATGAATTTCCATTAAAGGCTAACTGCTAAGTTGTTCTTCAAGCTATGATACATTAGACACTGAATTGATCAATGCAGCCTATTCGAATGATTCTGAGAATATTAAATCTCTAATGTAGAGCTAACAGCCATCATAGATACTGTTTCTACACTAGAAGTTGTCAGCAATACAGATGATTTGGGCAGCAAATATGGATTCATGCATCATCATCAAACTTTTATTTTAAAGAAAAGGAGACATTCTAAGTTCAAGTGTATTATGTCAATTCATTACTAGGTTTATAAAGCGACCCATAAGTGGAAAGTGTTGACAAATGCAATAATGTCAAGACTTAATTCTGCCCTTATATGTGAAAGGCTCTGGTTGATTACAACTAATAATAGTAGCAAAATCACAAAGACCAAATCAAATCAGGGCTTCATTGTGTTAGGAGACTGTGTGATATATTACAGACCTTAGGAAATGCTGGTGGGTAAAGTGCAGCCACAGGCAGATTCTGGCATTGCATTTACAAAAACAGGACTCTTGTGTCAGATTTCTAATTCAATTAAACCACAAATAAGCACAAAGGAAGGATTTGAATGAGTTGGTAAATAAAATAGAAATGAAAAATGACCTGATGATTAAGGAGTTCAAATAAAGCACAAATATTCATGTTGGAGTACAAAAATGAGAATTGGAAAGAAAGCATCAAACTCAATAGTCCCCCTGCAGAAGAAAGCATCATCTAAGCAGATATGAACTTTTGCGGATTATGGAAGAATATGTGTTTTGGGTTTTATGTTATGTTTCCTATTTTATTGTATAATTTCCCTTATATTGTACCCCAGGTTTCTGGTAAATTCCCTTATTCCTTGTGGCCCTGAACCCTGTTCTCTCACTGGTTGTTTTTTGCTGCGTTGCAGTGTTTTTCCATATATGGTTGTGCCCTCCTCTTAATTTGCATGCTCTGCCCTTGCTCGTCCCTAGTTACACCCTTTTTCTAGAATGTTCTCTCCCTACCCTATATAAGGTGAGCACCATTTTAATAAAGAAGTCATTTCACCTTGGACCCTTGAAGTGTGCTTCTCCCTTGAAGTGTGACTCTTCTCCCCTTGCGAGCTGTCATATTCAGGAAGTATTTTCTTAGTTGGCCAACACTGTTTTCTGTTGTTCTAATCACTGAAATGGTCAGTGAATAGATTGTTTCCTCCTTTTTCTCTGAAATAATTTTCAGATAGAGAAGACCATAGCCCGCTCACTTCAAATGCTAATCCTAGGAGCCAAACCCAATCAAAAAACTTTCATGATACACCTCACCATACCCATTGTGCATTATTCCAAACTCTAAAGTTGGAATATGTATAATTAGAAGAGTATTAATAGATCTATTTAAGTGATGGTTCCAATCACCTCCAATTGCCTCCTCATACTGCTCCCTGCCCTGAGGAGCAAGGATAGAGACATCAGAGGCACTTCAGCAGCATAGAGAAGCTGAGAACTCACCTTTCATGTAAACTTCCCACAGAGAGTAAAAAAAAAAAAAAAAAAAGACGGGAGTACAGTTTCTTTCAAGTCCTGATTTCAACTTTTTTATTTATAAACTGCTGACCTGTCAAACAAGATTTCCTCCATCTCTTTCTGACTGCCTAGACTAAGACAAGCCCTTAGGAAGGGTCATAATCTGGTCAGATGTAATGAGAACTATAAGCAATAGCAAGCAAAATAAGTGCCTTTCACCATAAAAAGGACAAAAGAAGAAAAAAATGCAAGGCATTTTGTATTGAGATGCTGCAGTTCAGTAACAAAACACCATTCATGGTGATGAAACATTGCAGCTGGACAAAGAGGCTGGACTGCAAGACTTCATGAAACAAGTCAAGCATAGATTTAAAACAGCATCTCAGACACATATGCCTGGTCTACCTCCAGCAAGATATATTATGCAGTAAAGGTGCAATCTCCCATTACAACCCAATCCACATGTATATAATACTTCTTGCATGTTTCTGTGTTACTTCCACTCAAAATAAAAGCCATTATTTACAGACCCTACTGCATGAAAGCCACTAGCTTTCCTTAAAGTACGTTGTATTTTCTTAAAATAGGGCATAGGGTTCAACAGTTAAGTGGAGGGAAGGGCAGGAACAGGAATCAAATTATGTACATACAACAGGAACATAATGGAGCAGGAAACAAAAGACCACCTCAACAGGCTTCTGATCTTCCTCAGACTCGCATGTCCTTGACACAATAGGACTGGCCTCGCTGTTTTGCAGCGCTGGCATTGTAAGGTAGTTAGCATGTTCATACCAATTTCTGCTTCCAAGTCAGGGCAAAGACACAGGTAGACCATCCACTGAAACAGTGCTTTGTTGATGTTTAAATACAGAGGAGGGAAGTAGACTAAGATTGTTACTTTTTCCCAGAATGGTTCCCCTCTATATTGTATGGTGCACAACGGGAAGAGTGGCTACAAGGGTAGGTTATGGAATTGGCTCCTTAGAAGCCAATTTATGGTTTTATGCAGATAAATGGACATTGCCAAATCCTTTGGACACTACAATTCTCTGGCAATGTCTGTGCAAGTTCCTACATCCTCTGATAACTGGTAGAGGCAAACATCTCATTACCTGTTGATGGCCTATCATTGTATGTGACATTTTTGCTAAACACTATCAAGGATAATCTATCACGAGGAAAACAGTAATTTTATTTGCCTGAACTCTAGGCTTTCAGCAAAAATGTACCCTAGTTTTGAGAGGATGATTCAGACACTCTAAAGAAAAGAAAATGAGGAAGCACAAGATGCTCTTTGAGGTCTTTTGCACTATGAGACAGGTGAGGCTAATAACTTGCAGTAGCACTTAGCACTGTCAGGTCCAGCCCGGATTAAGGACATAAGAAGGTTTGCAGCATCTAAATTTACTTCAGCTTCACTTTGGAGTTAGAGCTGATCATTGGCATGTTCATCTTGGAACAAATGCTTTAGTTGTGCATTTTAAAGCCCTTGCAAAGCCAGCTAGCCTCTCAGCACCTCAGGGAAGGTTTGCTCCTTTGGTTGGCTGTTTATACTGGGCCTTTGAAACAGGGATGCTTAACCTGTGACTGGAGCTCTTAGCCAATACTCTAACAAATAAAAAGAAATCAATAGCAAACACAAAAGCAAGCCTATTTCACACAGCAAAAGATGTCATGTTGTCAATGCAACAGAAGAACAAGAGGCAAAAGGTTTGATCTGCATAGAATGTCAAAGGCTTTAAATTAAAATAAAATTTTAAAAAGGAGAGAGAGAGAAACAAGAAACAAAAATAAGAAAAATGGCATACCTAAAATTTAAACTTTTCAAATGTAGTTAAACATCGGAATACTATCTGAATTCAGGTTGATCCCTTTCTTTTAAAACCTTAAACTTACATATTGACAAAAGTCAAATAAGGAGAGCTGGCCCTGCATTTCCAGCACAAAGACTGTCACAACTGCCTGACTTTAAAAAACTCACAATTATAGTCTGCAGCCTCATCTGAGTTGGGACTAGGGGAACAAGCCTAGCTGAAGGACTATGACTACATTAATCACAAGCTAGGCTGGTGGAAGTAAACAAAGGCTAGTGACACTGTCCCAGTCGAGGTGCATTATTGGCAAAACTCTGCCACAACTCTTTGGGTTACACAGTCAGTATGAGATAATTTATGCCCTTCAGGGATATCGCAGTCCTCTAGATCTCTCCAAGAAGTCATTTGCTTATGCCAGTGGAAATTTTTTAAGACTCTCAAAGTTTTTCTGACATGCACTGCTACTGTAAATTGGGGGGAAATGGCTTTGAAAAGCCAGCTCACTTACAGCAGTGTGTTGAGTACTGATGCAAATGGTGTAACTCCAATACCTCCAGCCACGCAGAGACTGACCTCGTAGTTCAGGGCTTCCTCAAAGGGACTTCCAAAAGGTCCATCCACATACAGTCTGCATAAAGAGCAAGAAGAACACTTTTAGAGAAAGCTGCTAAAATCAGAGAGAGGAAAAGAAAAGTGAGCTGGAATTAAAACCCTGGAAAGCTTTATGTGGACAGAAATGAATGTACGGGTGGTATGAAAAACTGCTATATAAAATCTCTTGGTCCATTCCATCATTAGACAAGCTATTTTTTAATCAAACAAGTGGAGGTGACTAAGTTATGGTTGCCTTTTGTGTCTGGCATTAGATGGCAAAGAAAGTGCTGCACTGGAAACAACAACTTGGTGGGTCTACGCAGGATTGAAAAGATTTTGGCTAGGCCTGCCTGTGAGGTTCACCTTATACAGGTTTTCTGAAGAGGGAAAAAAATTACCAAATTGTTCCTCTTTGACTCATGCTTCTCATTATTATAACCATTTTGTTCACTTGTTTTCAAAGATCATTTAGGAGACTGTGCATACTCTACATAATGAAAGGGCATAAGCTTCTCCTTTATAACATCAGACAGAGAAATAAAGGCAGAAGAGACTTCTCTTTTCCCAGACAAAGTCTTCCAACCCTCATCTGATTATTTCCTTTTGCGGGCTGGATTTTAGCCATAATTTTAAGTACTCAGTCTGATCTCGTTTCTTTTAATTTTGTGGTTTGATCCTTGGCATCATCTTACCAGTCAAAACAACATCTTGTTTGGGTGTCTTTGGCCAATATGATCCTTTTTAGGAAATTTTTTCCAGATCTCTGCTATTGCTGACATCTGGATGCCTAATATGTTAGGCTCCTTCTTCAACAATGTCTTAACTGAACACAGATAAGTACCTACTTTCTGAGGGATCTGGAGGGTGATCCTTAACTATGCCCTGTCTTATAAACTCCCTTCTTGGTGTCCTGCCTGAAGAGAAAGGAAGAAGACACTGGCACAGCCACAGACATTATCAGAAGGCATTGGAAATGCTGACAGTAAATTTTTATAAGTAACAAAACTTTATAACTAGGCAATCTGCAACATAAATATGCTTATTCTCATTTCTGTCTTTATTCTCTACAGAATTCTACAAACCTTCTCTTGGAGAATCTCAAAAGTTTTCACAGTCAGGTATGTTAGTTCCAGCATGATGGGAATACTGGAAAAACAAATCCACTCCTTACTTAATACAGATAAATTCTTTTGCAAAATTGGGCCAAGACAAACTTAATTGGCCATGTGTATACAATATAAACAGAACTTTAAGTATCTGCTCATTAAATGTTTCCTGTTACATAATGCTTTATACCACATTTGCTTAACAAGGGTTTATTTTCCACTAATGAATGATACCACTGCTGGTGCAGAGTGCAGCAGCAGCTGCTTCAAGAGATCTAAATGTTGCACTGTCATTTGACTGAGCAGGTGAAGGAGCATCTATTAGTTAAATAAGCAACAGAGGAAATGTTCAGAAGCAGGTCATTACAGTGAAATAAATCTGGTCCACAGGACATTCTGAAAGAAGTCCACAAATGTTACGGGTCTCAGATGTATACGTAACAGACTTAACCGAGATCAAATTTTGGGATATCAGAGTATGTCAAAAAGAAAAAAATCAAAACAACTGGATACCAAAGACAGGCAACTGAGGTCCCATGTCATTCCTGGCATACCTCTTATACATGTTATCCTAAGCAGACCGTGCCTAGCTGGTGAAATCTAGAGAACTGCTTCTAAAGGTATGAAGGGCAAAAACACAGGCCTGAGGGAAATTCCTTGCATTTTGGACAAGAAGCACTAACTTTTCTTTGGATACAGAAAGCCAAGATTTTGAGTGAAAAACACAAGCAAAAAAATATAAAAACAAACTAGCAAAACATATTTTTCGAGAAATTACCACAGTGGATGTGACAATAGTCATATACTGTAGGGGTGCCACTTGGCATAACTGCACTATTTGAGGACTACCTGAAATATGTATGTTTGATCTCAGAAAGGATTAAGCAATTCCTGGGAAGTCTGAGTGCCACTGAATATCACTGACACGATCAGGAGCTGAAATATGCAAAAACTAGATCCGGTCACCAGAAACTAGTCAAGCACAGTGCATGCCAGAAATTTAAGAAATAACCTGCAATTAAATATGTATTTTGGTCGGATTGCTCCAGTTTGTGGTCCATTAGCCCCATCTGGCCTGCAAAATATTTCTATTTGCCCACTGTGTCTTCCTCTGAGGGAGTGAGGAGCAGTTGCTTGGATAGCAAATGCAATCAGAAAGCCAAGAACCTCCTGCTGTGTCTGCATGTGGTCCAGCACAGAACAGCCAGAAGTCACTGCTTCCAAGTGTGAGAAAGAGAAATGGGGAAAAAGGTGGAGAAATATTGCTACTGAGTTAACCCACTCCACAAGACTGCTTGAAAAGACTGATTCCAAGGATAACATTATCTCCCTGAAAGATTTTGTTGGATGTCATAAACATGCACCATTTAATACGGAGATAATTAAAACTAAGATAAATGTGGCCCTGATGCCTTAATGGCAGTGGTCATTTAGGAATTGAACCTTCTTTTATTCAAGTCAGTGAAAGCAAGAAACCTTCTGATGCCATATCAAAAGGCATAGGGTTGAACAGAGTAGTGATTCAGTCATAGACTTCTGCAGAGATTATGCAATTTTTGTTTCTTGTCAACATGTTCCTCTTTTCATTTGGTAGGACTGAAAAGTTTTGCATAAAAGTAGTTCATTATTGCAAATGAAATCTCACAGCACTCAATAAAAAGACAAGTCAAGCCAAGGGGGGTAAGATGACTTTGTTTCCTGAGTTGTGCCCCAGATATATCACACTACTATGCTATGCTCTCCTATTCCCCCAGCTTTAATTTAATTAACATGAAGGCAGGGAATGGAATTTTACTAAAAGTTAAGAAATTGACCCTTCAGGCAAACTTATTCAAATAATGAGTTGTTCTTTCCACATGTATTCATTTCCAGACTTAGGAGTGCTCTCACTTATTCTGGCACAACTTCTTAGCTCAGAAACAGAATGAAAAGCTCTTCAAAACAGATTACATCACAAAAAAATAGCAGAGCACATTATTAAAAAGCATCTTACAGATAGATGGTCAAAATATTTTCTATTTAAAGTACATTTCTGTAGTACAGTGGTACCAAAACGGCCCAGCAAGCACTAAACCAGCTCGTTCCAGTGCTGGGCAATGCAACTGCAGTAACATGGGGCTGTCCCTAAACTGGGCGACATTGTCTCAGAGACAAAGGCAGCTGTACTGGTTTTGAGACCCAAGTTATTATCTTCCATAAGGAATTGCCCAGTGATGTGTGGAGATACCTACTCACTCCTCTTGGACTTGGATCTCCATGCTGTGCTTTACTTCAGGGTGTAGGTGCCCTTAGAAAAGTTTAATGCTTACATTGTACTTCACTACCCACCAGTAAATGATGATAACACCATTTTTTTCCAGGCTCTCTGGGACTTACAGTAAGATATTATCTGGGATATTAGTGGAATAACAGATGGATAGGGGAGTTATTTCAAGAAATTGTAGGAAATTTTAATTAAAGAAGTATCATCGTTTGCAAGCTGAACAAAATGCTTGGATACAAAGTACTGTATAGAGGACAAAAAGTGAAGTCCCAGTCTGGTTGAAACTTGTGGCAAAGCTCTTACCATTGTCAAAAGAGTAAGAATTTCACCCAGTAGCATGAGATTTTATATCTTTGGTATTCAGTTCTTACTAAGACCCACATGTAGGTATCTTTGTGTGAGCATACTAATTTCTTGATACAGTCACAAGACATACTCAATACAGCTAATGGAGCTGAATCCCTCCCAATTCCTTATAAAACTCCTACACCATTGAGTTCAATAGTTAAACAACCCTCCTACCATGCTTGTTCTTCTCTTTTACTTGTCCTACCAAAACAACAGCTAAGTACTGGTGGATACAGCCGGAGAACTCCAAGGAACCGAGCAATGGCTGAAGCAGTTTCCTTATGTTCTTCTGCTGCTGTAACTCTGATGCACTAGAGAGATGCAATCCCCCCTCTCTGATAACCCACAATACCAGCCTCCACCCCCACATGACAAATATTCAAAAAAGTGCCTCCATGTTCCACCCACATTTCCCTTCATGCCTGGGAGGGACTCTCTGTAGACATCTGAAGAGCTATTTCATTATCTCTCTTCAAATTCCTTCTTAAGACTCCTCTTTCCTCTGATAGCTGAAAAAACAGACTACTGATGTGCTCACTGTAGCTCAGTGATATTCTGGCTTGGTACTGTCTCACTGTTTCCTGAATTTTGCCGTCTGACTGTATCCCTCTGTTGTCTCCTGTTTCTCCAGTTTAAGTTGGTTTATCTCTCTGCTGTGTGACTTTGTCTATCACGATGGCTTCCTGATGCATGATTGTTTCTTCAGGGCACTAAGATAATTGACATTAGTGAAGAATTACTGGAAACCACCCAAATCTAAACCTTGTAGCAGAGACAGTCTTTGATCTGGTAGGCCTGCAGACAGCAAAACTAACTACTGCAGTGTCCTAGAACATTTTGGAGTCCAAGGCTCAATTCACAGTTCTCAGTTAAAAACCTAGCTACAACAAATGACGGGATTTTATTTTTCAAAGAAGCTGCAATTATTACCATCAGAGATTTTCAAATATTTTCTGAAACAAAAATCAAGACAGTTACTTCATTTTTTAAGTCAATATATAATACTTCATGTCATTATTTAAGCCTCAATATATGAGTGTAAACTCTGATGCTATTTTTCCAGAGGGGTTGTGATTACTGACAGCATTTCAGTACCAAAAGCCTTTTACAGAAGAAGAACCACCACTAAACAAAGCACACCATCCTTGGTTCATATGGATTTCCAAAACTACAATGGCTTTCAAGGTTTAAAAGTGTCACAAAATGTGACATTTGGCATCTTAGATCAGAGATTCCCATGTGTTCTCCCGAAATTGTGAAGGATGATGTTTCCATTAAAGAAATCCGCAGCCCCTTAGACAAGTAAGACTGCAAAAC